ATTTGTTAGGTTATTTCAAGCCAGGTTTTGGACTTTAATCCCTGTTTTTCCTCGGGTCTCCGTGGTGTTGTGATGCGTCATATTCACGCAGCAGCAGCGGTGATGAGAGAGCGCACTTGAGCAACAGTTTAGAGAGGAGAAATCAATCTACATATAAAATATTGGTCACAGATTATTGGTCACTTTCTAAATAATAAAAGTATAGCACATCCACTAGTAATTATATATAAATAAATCGGTTTTTACCGATGCAAATAAGAAAGAAACGATGCATCGCGTTATAAATGACAACTTGTAGCCGATGCACACTTTTTAAACCGATGCATCGCATCGTTAACTTTTTATGCCGATGCACCGAGCGAATCAGTGAATCTTCCCATCCCTAATATATATATATATATAAACAAAAGGTTTTTTTTGGATGTTTTCTTTCCAGTAGTCTGAAAGAAGTCTGCATGGAAATAAAAAAATCTCAAAATTGATCCAAAAATATTGTATGAAAGCACAATGGTTTTGCCTATAGTGTCTTGCATTGCATTATGTAATGAAAACATAATTCAATTTAAAAGAGCAGTATTTATCGGGCACACAATAATACCACAATAATAGGATAATACCATCAAAACTAATAAATACACAAATTTACACTAAACACAATTAATTTACTGTACATGTATATGACTAAATAAAAACAGAGGACAAACAGCAGCATTTAACTAAATATTATTAACACTACAAACAATATTTTGTATTTCTATAATATTAATATAATATATATTTTAAGTTTTTTTTGTCATTATTTTTTCATTTTTGTTTTTTTTATGTCTATACAGTTTTTATTTATTTATTTTGTTTCCGTTTTAGTTATTTTATTACAAGGTAAACTAAATGAAAATGAAAAATTTACTTTAATGCAACTAGCTGAAATAAATGAAAGTTAAAAAAAAACATTTTCTTTCAGTTAAGGTTTATTTTATTTCAAGTAACAAAAATGTTTTAATGGTTTTAGTTCTAGCTGACTATAATATCACTGCATGCAACTGAAAGCTGTAGTTAAGTTAGTAGTGTCTATTTTGTTATTCTCCAATACTGATTCGTTGCTAAAAGAGATCTGATCATCACAGCTGTGTTGGGAGATTTTCACTCTGATGCTCTCGATGTCATTGATGTCACACCTGGAAGGAACGATGTGATTGGTTAAGCAGATGTGTTGATCTAAATCAATGTTCCACGAGCCAGTAAAGTGTTTAAATGAGTATGTAGATGCACTTTCTTATCTGTGACGTTTTGAACTTTTAACGGAAATGTAATTAGCGTGAAGCGACTGTGAAGGCAGGATGTTGACATGGTTTTCTAACTCACTTCATTATGCCACCGATCACATTATATGTTCTAATTGTGTTTCATTGGAGATTGAACTTACTGCAACTTTTTTCTCTTTGGCTCACATTCATTTTCAGAAATTTTCCACATAATATATTTTGTAATATTATGCAAGCTTTGCATTCAGAGGCAAATTATGAAAATCATATTTTGTCCACTTAATTTTGCATGGCATATTTGTGAAATTAAACCTCCCAGTGTATTTGTATTATAAAATGAAGGCAGTGTTTCATCTGGAGTGTGCTGCCATCAATTTTGCATGCGCTCAGGCAAACGAAGCAGCTTTAATTATGACCATCTGCATCTGTTTTGTAGCTCTGAATTCATAATGTAACACAAACGGGGGAAGTTAACTATCTATTAAGGTGCTTAGGGAGGAAATGGATTACTGTAGGTTTCACTTTCAAGGAAAATAATTACAATCTATATGCAATCTGTTTCATATTTCAAACGCATGAGACAGAAGAGTATTATTTTTGTGGACAGATTTGAGATTAAGAGAACTAATAAAGCTTCATAACAACCTGATTGCAAGCCCAGAATAGTAATTAAAATTTATATATATTAAAACCAAATATATAAAACAGTGAAAGTGCAGATATATTCAGCTACAGTGCTGCAGAAATGCCCTTTGATTTTTAAACCTCAAACGCTCCTCTGACTGACAGCAGCTTTATGTGAGATCTAATTATGGGGCGGCTCTATAAAGTCCTTCTCAATAACGCTCACCCTTTAAAACAGCTCAAGTGTGAACGTCTTAAATGCTGCCGCCATTAAACATTTGAGTGACGTGTGCTTCATTTCAGCCCAAATCGGTTCCACTCTCTTTTACGGCACCAAAAGCGGGCCTTTTCACTTCATTGAGGACTGTGTAAATCCATAAGCGTGTAAAGCTGGAGCTCTGCAGCTAATGAGCGCCTGACCTTGCGTCATGTTTTATATTGTTTCCTTACAGGCCTCATATCATGAGGAATTCAATTTGCCTTGATGTTCTGGGATAAAAGTGCTCAATATGCAATGAAAATATATATGTTTCAGAACGCAATAGATATTAAAACTACTATAGGCTGCAAAATGACATCTGCAAACTTATGCAATTAATGATAAACACATCCACACATAATCAAGTATGATGCATACAGAGCATTTCACTTGCATTTGCAACTCCAAATAGATGTGTGCAAACTGTAAAATGCATTTATGCTTTTAAGGTATCTTAAATTGTATAACAGATGTCTCAACTATCATTTTAGGATATCTTAAATTTTCATATGGAAAAACAGGAATTACTGTACAGCCTAATATGATTATTAAGCCTCAAAAGTCTTTGATTTAATTAAATAAATATGAGCACGGCGCTGTTGCACACTCGACAGGGTTGCAGTTTCAGATCAGTTTGCAATCATTTGTTACAAACAATTACTTATGGTCGACTGTTGATGAATTATGACAATGTTTACTTTATGGTGTTTATATTGTAATATGATATGATGTAATATGTAATAGGCTCATATGCTTTTCACTGTAACTGAGTTTTATCCAGCTTTGCTGCAGCATGGAACAATCTGCTGGTTCATTTCGTCTGGCCGGAGGAGAACTGGCCCCCCGACTGAGCCTGGTTTCTCCCAAGGTTTTTTCTCCATTCTGTCACCGATGGAGTTTTGGTTCCTTTGGCTTGCTTAGTTGGGGACACTTAATTTCCAGCGATTTCGTCGACTTGATTGCACAGATGCTATTTAAACTGAACTGAGCTGGACGATGATATCACTGAATTCAATAATGAACTGCCTTTACCTGAAAATTGAGTGTTTACTATTGTCCTTTTGCGTTGACACACTATTTTCCTATTTGATACTTGTTAAAAGCTCTATATAAATAAAGGTGACTTGACTTGACTAATCATAAACAGTGGTCAAATAGTGAAGTTTAGGGAACATCATGTGGAAGCAGTAACTATTCTCTCTGCGTTTGTCTCCTGATCTGTCCTTGACTCTGAGTGTGGAAGGAATCAGTGTACAGGAAGCGTTTGAAGTGCGTGCAGGAAGTGGTCTGTATTTCAGAAGCGTTCTTACAGCTGTGGCAGGTCGCTCCGCTGTAGCCCGTGGCAGAACAGTTGCAGTGAAACGTGCTCCACGACTGCGAGCATCTCCCTCCGTGTTCACAGCGACTCGGGGAGCATCTGGTGGAAAAAAACAGGACATATACTCGATGTTTGATCTCAAGGACAATCAGATACAGAGAAGTGCAATCATTCAGCATTACACATGCAGCCTTTGTAGACAGTTTGTGCGGAGTGAAAACCTTGCTGTTGGCTTTATCTGATCCTGGAGTGGGAAACAGTGACTTTTAACGGTGCACTTTTAGTGACATACAGGAGGAATTCTGACAGTATGAGAGTCGCATGTAAATCACAGGCAATATGGAAGCTTATTTCCACCATGGAATAAACAAAAATGGTAATTTCAATATTTTTATCTCACAACTCTGACTTATTGCTCTCAACTGTGAGTTTATCTCTCACAATTCAGACTTTTATTCTTAGATTGTGAGATAAAAAGTCAGGTTACACTTTATTACAAGGTGTCCTTGTTACAGTGTAATTATACATATAAGTACTGAGTAATATTAATCAACTACATGTACTAACTATAGGGTTAGTGTTAGGATGAGGGTTTGGTTTAGGGTTAGTTGCATGGAATTATGCATAATGTATTGTTATTACAATAGTAAGTACATGCAACATGTGTAACAAGGACACCGTAAAATAAAGTGTTACCTAAAGAGAAAATCAAATGATGTGCAACAGGACACATTAGACTAACAGGACATTATTTGATAGAAGAAATGACCATCATTGTGTTTTGAAGTATGCAAATCAATATTAAATATGAATTAATCAAATAATGACTTAAATTTGGGTCTGTTTTTCACACAAGCCATCACTTTGGAAGAAGTAGATAACAAAAATGTCATTTACATAACTTGTAAAGCATCCTGATGTTAACCAATCATAATCATAATCAAGTCTACTTCATTATTATAATCAGAGATCTATATGTACTGTACATAAAGAAGTCTTAAACAATGAAAAGCAAACAGCCTCTTTAATTCAGAGAGAAGCTGAAAAATAAGCATAGAATTAGCACAAAATAGGCATAAACACTCATGCAATGGGTTTGCAAACTCCATTTGCAAAACTCCAAAAAGAAATCAAATTTTTTATTTAGTGATGCATTTCTACATGTAACTGTTTGACTTCATTTACATAAAGAAGTCTTAAATATAAAGGCACAGAAAGCCTGTAATTCAGAGGGAGGGTGAAAAATATGCATGAAAAATTTCACTTAGTCATAAGTTCACATACACCTCACAGAATCTGCAAATTAATAATAATTAAAAAAACGAGGGATCATAAAAATTGCATGTTGCTTTTTTACTTAGCACTGCCCTGAAAAGCTATCAATTAAACTATTACGCTTTAATTATTAACATTTTGCAGGGTTTATGTAATCTTATATATGTTTTTGGTGCAAAAACCCTGGACTAACACGTCTGATGACTTCCTGAAATAACAACAGTGCTGATTTGAGGACTCGTTCCTGCACAAACGCCGTAGGACGACGCACACGCTGAACTTTAATACTTCGTGTTAGAGGTTTCATCACACCATTAACCTCAAGACTGACTTAGCAAACACCACTAATAATCATTTATGCCACACCTTGATTTAGAAGCTAATAATGTTTTGCTGAGAGCAAAGCAAAGTTAACCGCTTCGACCACAAACACCTTCCAATTTCTCTCTATAAAGCGAATCTTTTCTAGTCATCTCACAATGCCCTTGCCTGAGCCGAAAAACAATTCCCAGCCTCTCCCGACTCTCACGGGATGATTTGCATGCTCGCGTTACCAGCGCTCGCTTTACAGTCTACATCTTTCACCAGATTTCCATTTGTGGCCACAATGATGGTCTAAGAGGATCCGTTCAAACGCTCTTTGTGCTTTCGGTGGTCGGGACAGATCCACTCTCCGCTCCGGTTTCACGCTTTGTAGCTTCATAATCGGAACAGGATCGAGTGTGTCTTTCATTCTGCTCAAAACGACACTTCAAACCAAGGGAAAAAAACCCAAACCACACTTTTTGGCTCGCGTACGCTGATGGCATACTGAGAGCCCTGTCTCTTTGTTGGCTGCAATCCCATCAGAGCTTTGCAGGCCCATCGCAGGGACACAAACGAACCGAGGCGGTCGGCTTCACACAGGCCGCGGCGCAGCCGGACTCCTCTGTTCTCCTGTAATCTGCCCCCGCGAGTAATGATCAGACTGACACACACAGACACTGAGAGAGAAACACACAGAAAGGATAAACGCGAGCACAACTTGCCAAACAGTTGTGTTTTCTTTGATGAGACGAGCTGAGATTAATAAACACGAATCACAAACAAAAGATGTAAAAGTCTATAAATGAAGACTTCAAATGGGAAACTATAGTCCACTTATACACTACTGTTCAACAGTTTGGGTTTTTTGTATCTTCTGCTCACGAGAGCTGCATTTATTTGATTAAAAATACAGAAAAAGCTGTAAAATTGTGAAATATTATTACAACTTAAAATAACAGTTTTTTATGTGAATATATGCTAAAATGTAATTTATTCCTCTTAATCAAAGCTGCATTTTCAGCATCATTACTCCAGTCTTCAGTGTCACACGATCCTTCAGAATCATTGCTGCTTAATAAATATTTCTGATTACTATCAATGTTGAAAACAGTGTCATTTTTGTGGAACCATGGTACATTTTATTTTTTTTAAGTTTTAAAAACTGCATTTATTTGAAATAGAAATCTTTTGCAACATTATAATTGCCTGTACTGTCACTTCCGATCAATTTAATACATCCTTGCTGAATAAAAATATTAATTTATTTTTGAATGGAAGTGTAATGTTAGTCAAGCTTAATTGCAGTGCAAAACATTTTACATTACCATTTTATAACTTCTCTACGATGCTTAGGAGAGAAACAAGTACGCAAACAAAATGTGTTAGAGCAAGCTATTACATTTTCATGAAAGATTATGAAGGCAAACATTATTTTTACAATAACATGCACTGATTTCACAATAAGACCAGCAGCATGTCTAAATAAAGTAAACAGGGTCAAATTTCAATCCATGTTGACTTTAAATAAAATTGGACAGATGTTTTTTTTAAGAAATGAGGTCTCAGCTAATGAATATGGGTCGACATCTGGGAGTATGATATTCCACTAGCATCTCAGCCTGAAGGACACATCAACTGGGAAACCGGAGATGACATAGAAATTATGAGAAACAAGATCAAGATTTCACTGAAAAACCAAATCCTGTCTGAACCTGACAACAAAACACAACTAGTAGTATAAGTGTAGAAACTTAAAGGTAAACAGTTTAACTCAAGATGTCTGTGTTCTGCATTCCATCTTCTGCAAGAGAAAACCAATCACAATTCAGTAATTTGCATATTGAATTATGATTGCTTTTCTAATGCAGAAGATAGAAACATGCCAGAAAGAAACCCAAACAGAATTCAAATTACCACAGTGAAATCATCGCTGTCAGTTACATTTGGAATCTCAAACATTTTATAAATGTACATTAATGGGAGATTTTCAAAAAACGGAATTTAAAAGTAACATCTATATCCTGAACAGACTTTCAGTCTTCAATAGTATCAATTTAGCAAAAACAAACTAAAATTACCAACAAAGCATAGTTCGAAAGGAGTCAGCATGTTTTGTGGTGAAGAAAATCTGAGGAATTTCAATGCGGCGCTCGCCTCGTGAACAATAAAATCAAACATAAAAACTCCCTCAGACAGAAAACCGCCTCTGCTGCAGCACAGAACAGAAAATACATCTATTCAAATGCCACAACGGCTCTGAGCAGCAGCTTGACGGCGTCGAAACGCACGTGCCCCACGCTGCCCTTCCCATCCCTCCACCGATACTCAACCCTCCTCGACAGCAGCCAAAGGTCGCGCGGTGTGACCCTAATCACAGAGAGGTGACAACCAACTGCGGCCCGCTGAGCTGAAGTCACCTCTTGAAAGACAAGTGCAGCAGGTGCGGGGAAACGGCACGCGCCTCGACGCCGCTGCTTGATGTGCTTCCTCAGCCGCAGGGGAAACCTGACAGGAGCTGGAAAGAGACAGACTCGCACCTCCAGCCTGGGGGTCAAAGGTCAAGCGGAGGAAATTAGGACGGACAGAAGCCAGGCCAATGATGCAACCTTCAGCCGACCTCATCAGCAGAAACCAGCGGGAAGAGAGATGCAAACATGCAATGCTTCAACTCCCCAACATCGAAAGTATGTTCATTTAAAGGAATAGTTTACCTAAAAATTTAAATTTGCTGAAAATGTGCTCACCTTCCGGCAATCCAAGATGTAGATGAGTTTGTTTCTTCATCAGATTTGGAGAAATGTAGCATTGCATCACTTGCTCACCAATCGATCCTCTGCAGTGAATGGGTGCCGTCAGAATGAGAGTCCAAACAGCTGATAAAAACATCACAATAATCCACACCACTCCAGTCCATCCAATAACATCTGTCAAAGTTAAAAGCTACGTGTTTGTAGGAAACAAATTCATCATTAAGATGTTTTAACATCACTTCATGAATCCATGATCCTGCAGTGAAAAATCCATGTTGCTTTTTCAAATCAAAATCCACCCACATATTTGTTTAGAGTCGTTCTGGCTTGTATTTGGTTCTTGATCTGTGCAGATTTTTCTCCTGATTCAGACTAGATGACTTTTTCAGTGTAAAAAGCAATATTATGGATTATGGACTCAAATTTTAGCCGGAAGCGATGGTTTGAAGTTAAAAACATCTTAATGATGGATTTGTTTCTTACAAACACACAGCTTTTGGCTTCACAAGATGTTAACTGAAGGACTGGAGTGGTGTGGATTACTTGTGGATTATACTACGGGGGCCGTTGAATGCTTGAATCTGATTGGCTGACCAGCGTTCTAAGGTGTGCAATTATTTTCAGGGAAACGCACGGCGAACGTAGTTCCAGGCAGCTCTTGACCGCATTACATGTAAATATATCACTTCGCCAAATGATTTCAGTTATTTCAAAGGTCCTTATAGCTTACAACAGCAAAATAACCAAAACCCACAACGACACTGGCCA